CTTGACGGGGCTTACCGCAACTAATGCATGCAGCCCAAGGAAAAGAGAGTCAGGGAGACGGGAGGACAAGCCTTCCCTGTAAGGGCGTATTCCTACGGCCTCCTATCAAGATCGTACTTTTGGCCTGGTAAGTAGCGAGAGGTTCGGGGTTTAGAGCATTTTTTATTGTGAGCCTGATATGAGGTCAGATTGATACGAGGTTACGAAGACGCCCTGAGAGTCACTCAAAAATCAGAAGCTTTATTTAGTCACAACAGGTAGTCGTACATATTTCACACTTTTCATACATTTCCTCCATACACATCATCATCTAATCCACCCGTGCTAGAGTCACCACTACCTTGTTTGCCTTTTAGGCTTTGGTGGCAACGGGCTGAACCTGAAACATCCCCATGGCTGCTCCCCCCATGACAGCAGTCGTCCCGAACCCAGTGCAGTACCCTTCCGGCCCCGCTACAATCGAATCCACCAGCTGCTTGTAAGTGTCCCCTTGGAACGTGGTCAGCGTACTCGCTTTAAGCCACGTTCCGCTAAGGGCATAGGTGTACGTTGTTAGGGAAGCGGGTGTGTCGCCCAGGGTCTTCCTGCTCTGGAGCGTGGGAAGCGCGGAACTAGTGAGATCCTCCCACGGGCCATCGGTCCCTGGGGGGGAAAAGAAGACGGCGACGATTCTCTCCTGCCCCACGTCTTTAGCAATGCCGGCGAAGGTCGGTTCGCCCGCGGTGGGGCTGGAGGCGAGAACGCTGTAGAAAATGTTGTAGTCTCCGTTCGACCTGACGGATTCAGTCAGGGTTCGCACGGGCGAATAGAAAAGGTGGAATGAGAGTCGCATAATTTAAGGAGGGAAGCTGAAAAAGGAAATAAGCTAACGTTCAGGGAGAGTGCGTGGAGACTTACTCGTAGACGGCGAGGCAGACTTGCCCGCTGGCGCCGACTTGGCCCGTCCACGCGCCTAAGGTTCCGCTCAGCGGCGCGGAAAGAATCTCTGTGCGGAGAGAATGGGAGGGGAGCAACGGAGCGAGGAAGAGGAGGGAGGCGGAGATTGGAGGAGAGGGTGGTTTTCTTCATATATGAGCCTAGCGGCAGCGATGGTATGAAGAGCGCTTGCAACGGCTTGCGATGGTATGAAGGAGATGCTACCTGCGCGACTTGGCGACCAGCCTCGGTTACGGGAATTTCGAGAGTGTCAGATGAGCTCTCACCAGTCAGAGTCCCGAGAGCTTCAGCCTGGTCGGGCTTGGGCAGCGTGCACGGGCTGTCCGTCGGGGCTTGCGCCATCGTGGTCGCTGCGCAGCAGACGGGAACCACGTGGAGAATTAGAATTTGAAGCAGAATCATTTGCAACGGATGGAAGATTTGCGGCTGGCTATGGGATGTGTATAAGATAGAGCGCGTAGAATGCGAACTCACAGAAGCTCGCGGTGGCGACTAAGAGACAGATCGCCAAGCCGGCGAAGCGCTGAAGCTCCATCGCAGACTGATTCCGGTGCTGGTGAACCGAGATTTGAGAGAGAGGAGGTGATGAAGTTTGTTCTGACGCTGCTACTCTATGGAGGAGTAAACGAACTGAATGACTTGGTATTTTCAATGACTAATGGGGTGCTATTTATGGGTCGCGACGAGGTGCGCTTACAGTGCGTGGAATGGTGGTCACTTCTCGAGAAGGTTACAGACTGTTTCAGAACGGTTCGGTGAAATGACCAATCGGTTGACAAATGTTACGCCTCGGTGAAATCATGGTTCCTCGGAATTACACCTTCAACACATTCGCGCTGCGGGAAACCTGGATAATACGCTTCCTGCAGTCAGATTGCTGCCGAGGCGACGGTCAGGTACCAGTAGATGCTGCTGACTTCAGATAGACGGATTCGACGGGTTACCTGGCGGGAAAGGAAGGACGCCACCACGGCTGGATCCTTGCTCGTGTGACGCTTCGAAGGTACAGTAGAAAAAAAATGTCCACCGCAATGAAGGCAAACCACAAGCCTCCACCAGAATTGTTTTTCTAGTGCCCGTGAGAAACAGTGACGAGGTTTGGGGGATATATTTTCGACGGACAATAATCATTAGTTTTTTACGTTATGGCCATACCTGTCGGAGCATCATTTTTTAATTTCGTTTTGCCCAGACAGTCGATGCCCCAAATCGTCGCCGCAGAGCACGGAATCAGTTACCCCCCAAAAAAGAGAGATTCAGGTGATGCAGTGGAATTGTCGTGGCGCCATTCCACGTAGTCACGTCTGCCCTGGCGGGATTTGCGTGCAATGCAATGCAGTCAGCTTGGTCAACGCGCAGATGCCGCACCAGGAGAAGCTAGGAGAAGCCAGGAGAATTTTGGATGTTCGATTCAGTACTCGCCGTTATACGGCCACTGATTTCACTTAATCGATGCCTTTTTTCAGCCCTCTCATAGATAAAGATTGCCGCTTCCATTACCAAAAGCTTATGGCTGATCGTTTTTTAAGCTTCCAGGTTCAAATTCACCCTGAAATTGCCGCAATTATAGCCAAGATCACTCAAATAAACGCTTGATCACGTATTTCCCAAGAAGGCCTATTTCTATCGATGTTATTTTCTTTGCTACATTGAAAAGAACTGTATTTTTTTTTTTTTACCAAACTTATGTCTCTGGGTTTTTTTTAGAGATTGGTTTACCTTGAAATATCAGGATGTCTATTTTAGCAACACTGATGAGCCAGAGTTCTTTTTCCAGGATGTAGATTTTCTTTGTAAAGGGAATTCAAATCTCGTCAGGGTGTTCTTACCCCTCCTGCCAGCGCGAATGGAGCGCGCGCGGTACGACAACCGCTGCTTTGACCAAGCCCACAAAATAGTCAGTGGTTCCGCGCAGCAACTTCTGTGCTCATCCGCCGTGCCCAACCTCCGCCTTCCTCTCCCCCCTGGCCAGGGACGACACCAGCCGAATCTGTCGCTATGGGCAGCCCCTCATTACAAGCTCCACCTTTCTGTGCTGTCCTGCCTCGCTAATATTTTAGGGCGCGTCCCCTCCCTCAATCGATCCTGCCCTCGATCGACCGAGGGACAGGTACAGTGTCGCAATTCACTAGGTAACCAAATTTTGAGATGGCTAGCGAACTTAAAGGAACTCGGGCCCAACGATCTTGTCACCTCCGCTAACGACGATCGATGTGCCTTCGTGGCCACACCGATCTCGGCTTTTGTAGGATTGAGAGTTTTTTCCCCCTTGAATTCTCGATCCTGTCACCCTGGGCTCGAGATCGATCCGCGATTGTCACCTCCTACCAATCCCGCCCCAATCCTGCGATCGGTGTGCCCGATCGGTTTTTCACATCGATCTCGCGATCGTTCGAGGTAGGGGACACGCCCTCACCAGCGGCAGGAAAAAGGTGGGAAAAGGTGTTGTGCGCTCTCGAGCGGTTTGCCTGCTCCACCGCGTTGAACCGCCACCCACCAGTCTATAAAATGATTCTTGAACTGGAAACGAATTAGGGCCTGACAAGCGCTCACCTTATATCGAGCCTCACTGCAAATTTGCCATGTAAATTGCCTTGTGCGCTCTCATAGGCAAACAGTTGCTCTCTGCTTTTTCCAGTCATCTATCCACAGTAGGTGTCTAGGTCTGTTAGCGGCGTTCACGTTCCTATTTCTACAGCGGTCATTGCTCGCCGCTGGCATGTGGCGCTACTTCACGAGAATGACATAATTTCGCTCTGCTTTCTGGTCGTTCTCGCCTGAACGCTACAGTAAGCATGGAAGCCGATTTGGTTATCACCGCTTTTATTTTTCCACCACTTCAAGGCGCTCGTATTCCGTCACCCCACTGAACGGAACCTCTGTTTAATGCGTTCCGTTTTGGACGATCTTACACATCGTTCTGCGGTTCCTTCCCTTCCACATCGTTCCGCTTTCCCCGCCTATTACAAAAACTAGAAACATGTACTTCCCACTGAGCGAATACCTGGCAGTCGCGGTGGCATGGCAGCGAGCTACGGAGCTATCACCGTGCCTTCCTCGTCGCAGTGGGCGCCCGTACCGCCGCTGGTCAAAGCGACCGCTTTTGGCGTCTTCGAGCCCTTCCGTCCCTGCGTTTCAAACGTTTGTCTCCCTTCTTTGCAGCGGCAAGGAAGCAAGCGAACACGCGAGATCGAGGAAGCAAACAACGAGCGTGCGATCTAACGAGCGAGAGCGACCGATCAAGCGAGCGAGCGAGCGATCAAGCGAGCGAGAGCCATCACGTTTTCGTCGTCGCAATCGACGGCGGTGCAGCTGGTGGACAAGGCGACGAGCGACCTGTTGGCGAGCCCAGATTGGACGCTCAACATAGAGCTGAGCATGAGCCCCGCTCGGGTCGGGCCGACCCGACCTGACCCGTCGTTTTGCCCGGGTCGGGCCAAAGTTTCTGGATCCCTGCCCCGGTTGGGCCGACCCGACCCGACCCGGGATAAGACCCGACCCGGGGGCCCATTTCGGGTCGGGCCGAGCCGGGTTTCGGGTCGGGCCTGACCTGACCCGATTTCGGGCTGGAAATGTCGTAATCGGGTCGGGCCAGGCGCGCGACCCGATTTCGACAGGGCTAGGGCCGAAACCCTAGCCCGAATGTAAATCGATCGAGGGGATTTCTTCCCCTCCGATTAACATTTGCCACCCTCGCCACGCCAGCAGCAGCCCCTAGCCTTAGAGTCTTCGTAATTACCCCTCACTAAACTACCACCTACCTTAGGCATCACCCGGCGATTTCACACACTGTTATTTACATTCTTATATATACGATTTTGGCTGCACTTAGTACATTTCGCGCTGGTCAGATTAGTAATTCTTAGGGTTCCCAGATTCAAGGGCATCCTCTACTTTCCATCGGGCACACTTCTACCGTGGCATTGCCTCTTTAGTAGACGCATTTACCGGCACCTGCTGCACCATTTCGTGTAGGTTTAGCGTCACCCGCTTGCACCGTGACGGGGAATCCGCGAGCACACGTCTCGGTTCATTCCGTGAAGGAGCGATTGTAGGCGCGAACCATGTCTGGCACGGACGGCGATCCGTCGAGCTCCACGCGGATTCAAGGGTTTTCTCTCGCGGCCATCGGAGTCACATCCTTTGGCGGGGAGGGTTTCCAATTGGGCCAGCTCTCCCCTAGTGCTGACCCTGTGACCCATGAAGAGGGCATTGCGGCGCGGCGGGCTTCGGAGGAGCAGCGATGGCAGAAGGCAATGGACGACCTGCGTGCTTTTGAGCAGCAGTCGCCTGAGGAACGTCGCGACCCGACTTGGGTGCCGGGTAATGCGGATGCTGGCGCTGCGAGTGACGGTGATAGCGGTGGCGAGGGTGGGGGGGGGGGGCGTGTGGGACAGAAGAGAGCACGTGTGGGTGAAGGTGCTGTACCTACTGCCGTGTCTGCTCTAGCTGCTGGTGCGCCTGCTGCTGCCACTACTGTTGCTGCTACCGCAGCTGCTGCGGCTCCTGCTGCTGCTGGGCGTCCGCCCGCTACTACTGCTGCTGCTGCTGCACAACCTCACGCTTCCGGACGCCCTCGCGCTACTGCTGCTGCTGCTGCTGCTGCTGCGCCCACTGCTGGACCACGCCGCGTTGGTATTTCCTGGGCTTCTATCAATGCAATGCGGGAGGCCAACCAGCTGCCGACCGAAAAGGACCTGGACCCTATCGTGGAGAGCGCTCTAAGTAGGAGAGAGTCGGGCTTGGTGAAAGGCATGTTTGGGGCGCTGAACAACGATGCATGGCGATGCCTTACGTGCAACACGTTGATTAGTTGGCGTTTAGGCAACACGAGCCCGGGGGCCAGGCATTTGAAGAGGGCGCACTATCCTAGCCTCCAGATCTGGGTCCGTCGCTTTCTGGACCAAAACAAGTCTGATGGGCTTGTTTTCCCGGATGGTGGTTGGGGACCTACAGTACCGGATAAGACTAAGTGGCCGTGGGAGCACGCTGCCACATGGCCTGACGTTCCGGCAGCCGAGACGGGGGCCGGGCCGAGTGGGTTGACCGGAGGAGCCGTCGTTGGGGGGGGTAGGCAGGGTACCATCGATCAGTATGTCACGACTCGGGTTGGAGAGCGGCAGCTGCGCGAGGCCTTGGTGATGCTGTTCACCAGCCTTGACATGTCGTTCCGTTCGGTCGACAGGCCCGCGGTAAGCACTGTGCGCATTTTCTTTTGTACTCACGCACGATCGAGTATACATTGACAAGCTGTACGCAATATCCTACCACCATTCTTTTCTTTCACTCCTTACCATGTTTGTTACCCTCCTCATGGCAGTTTCATGACTTCGTGGCCCTGCTTAACCCGGACGCGGCGCAGCATCTCGGCACACGTTTCCGCCTTGCGCGGGATATGCTGTCTGCAGCCGAGACGGCTAAGGCTCAGCTTCGACAGCTGTTGACAGGCGACGGTCTGGCGGGGCGGGTGACACTCACCACTGACATATGGACCAGTGAGAACAACGTCGTTTTCATGGTGGTGACTGCTCACCGAGTCACCTCGGACTTCCAGCTGCAGCAGATGGTGATCGACTTCAGGCCGCTGGAGGGCCGCCACACGGGGGATAAGATAGCGACCGAGCTGAAGGAGGTCATAGGGGAGTGGGCATTGGGTGGTGGTGAGTTTTTCGGCGTGACGACGGACAACGCCGAGAACAACAACCGGGCGGTTCGTTTGTTGGCCGGCGTCCCTGACGACACACTGGGGTCACGTCCGCGTGACCCCGCCGTCATGTCCCTGTCTCGGCACTTCAAGTAAGTGCCATCCGCTCTTGCTACTAGTGTCCATGAGCATATCGGGTAATGAAAAGTACCCACCTGAACCCCATACCATGGTTGATCATTGCCATTTCTCTATGGCATTGCTTGCCCTCCCCTCCAGGTGCGTGGCCCACATCTTGAACCTTGCAGCGCAGTACGCACTCAAGGTTGAGTCGGTGGCCGAGGCGCTCTGGAGGTTGCGAGCTGTGGCTAGCTACATCGGGTGGTCGGTGCAGCAGTCGGAGCGCTTTTTTGACATCCAGAAGCAGTATGCTGCGACCCTTGCGGCGACCCAGGCAGGGGAGGGGGCGGAAGAGGGGGGGGAGAGGCAGGCAGAGGGGGGCACTGCAGAGGGGGGAGCGACGCAGGCAAAGGGGGGCAGCAGTGCGCGCAAGAGACCTACCGACTTGCGCCTGATCGTTGACTCGGACACGCGCTGGGGTTCCACGCTGGAGATGGTGGTGAGGGGGTGTGAGCTGTCCATTCCGCTCACGATGTACTTCGATGAGTCCTCTATCGTAAGTATGGGATTATCATCAGGTCACCATGTACTGTGCTCATGTGAGATATAGTTCATCTCTCTATACCACTTCGGGGTGTATGTACTTATATCGAATGGTTGGGCCAAGCTGCCTTGTGGGCTCTCAAGGCTTCCCAATCCGATCCCAATGTCACCATGTACTACCCCAATGTCACCTCCATTTCATCTCTTCACCACTTTGGCTTGCATGTTCTTATATCGAATGGTTGTGGCATCCATGCCATGTGGCCTCTCAACTCTTCCCAACCCCATCCCATCACCATGTACTTCCCCAATGTCATCTCCACTCCAACCAAATCACTTTCCATACCTTCCCTCTCTCCCCCTCTCAGCCAAACATCACGAAGGCCACACGCACGGCATGGGCAGAGATCAGGCTGTCAGATGCCCACTGGACAGCTCTCAACGAGCTGCGGGCTTTCCTCGAGCCATTTGACAGCATCACCCTGTTCGTGGAGGGGTCTTTGTACCCCACCATGGGAGCGGTCGTGCCGCAGTACAACATGCTCCTGGATATTCTTGAGGGGAACAAATATTCGCCAGACGTCTCGCAGCTGTGCAAGGACCTCTCGGGCCAGGCCTTGAGCAAGCTGGAGCGCCACATGGGCCGGGTGAGCGAGGAGTGTGCGATTGCCACCTTCCTCGATCCTCGGCTCAAGACGGCAACCTTCAGGCTCGGGGCCCGAGGGGCGAGGACTAGTGCGCCCATTGTGGTAGAGGCGGGGGGGCATGCCAGGGGTGCCAGGACACTCGACCTGAGTGAGGAGAGGGTGAAGGTGCTCGTACGCGAGCGCCTTCCAACCTACCAGACAGCTGCCCGTGCAGCGGCAGAGGCACGCCTTGGGGGGGAGGTTACAAGCACTAGGGGAGTGACGGGGGAGGGCGTAGCGAGGAGCAGGGCTGCAGGGCGCAGGGGGGCCAGGTTGCGTGGCGTGCTGGACTTTCAGGCTAGGCTGTTCGTAGAGTTGGCAGAGATGGAGGCAGAGGAGGGGGTGCAGGCACAGGACGAGGTGGACCAGTATTTAGCTGAGGCGAGGCAGGAGGGTGGGTGCGTCTTAGCGTACTGGCGCGGGAGGGAGCTGCAGCTGCCCGGGCTTAGGGCCATGGCTCGCAATTATTTGGGTATCCCCGCCACGTCTGCAGTGAGTGAGAGAGCCTTCAGTCAGAGCAGGAACATCATCTAGTGGCAGCGGCACCGTCTGAGCCCACAGCAGATGCGTGCGGCCATGATGATCAAGACTTGGCAGGATCACCACCCTGGTCAGAGGCTTGAGGTTCGTGGTGGCACTAGGACCACGATGGCGCAGCTGTGCCTTGAGGCAGAGCAGCTGGGGTTGTGAGAGACGGTTGCTCGGGGGGAGTTGCTGCGGTGTCTTTGTTGTTGTGACAGTCGAGGTATTGCACCGTCATATTTATTAGAGACCTCCTTGGACGTGCTACAGCTTGCATTGACGGTTGCAGCTTTGGGGGTTTTATTAGCAGACATATTTATAGTTTGCATGAACTTATTGCAATTGTTGTGGCGAACCCAATGGGAAGCCCAATCGCACTATTTTTTCTTGATGTCTCGACTGTGAATCAACCAGTAGGTTATTGTACATGTCATAGCTAGTGATCTACACATTTTGAAACCATCACACGTTCAAGTGGTTGAAGAACAATGCTTTAAATATGTATATTAATAACAAGTGTAACAGAGAAATTGTACAAGTCATGATGAGCACCCCAACCCTCCCTCTAAGGGGGCGGGTCTGCCTGGCCCGACCCGCCCCGACCCGAACTCGGGTCACCTTTGACCCGAGTCAGTAGGCCCGGGTCGGGCCACCTCTTTCACGATTGTGGCCCGAGCCCGGCCCGACCCGACCCGACCCGAGGGCCCGTGTGGACCGGCCAAATCGGGTCGGGTCGGGTCGGGTCGGGTCACATGCTCAACTCTAGCTCAACATGCAGCTGTGCGACCTCCTTAACGCCAGCTCCGGGTGAGTTGGAGACGCCAGCTCCGGATGAGCTGCTTAAAGACGTCTTTTATCCGTGCGCTCATGCGAGCGCTCCGGGTAAGCGTATTTGGTGTGATCAGTGTGTCGAAGGCTGAGCGTTTCTAAGTCCTCTCAACTTCTTAACACCTTCCTTCCTTGTGTCATTGCGTGACCTGCATGGCAGGCAAGTGAAGGATGTGGTGAGGGCAGTGAGGAAGCGCATCGGCAGCAAGAACAGGAAGACGCAGCTCCTCGCGCTCACTGTGCGTTCACCGCTCACTGTGCGTTCACCGCTCACTGTGCGTTCACCGCTCACTGTGCGTTCACCGCTCACTGTGCGTTCACCGCTCACTGTGCGTTCACCGCTCACTGTGCGTTCACCGCTCGCGGGGCTGGCTCGAACTGCTCTTGGTTAACTGCTGCTGTCCCGTTTTTATCAAAAACTCACGCACGTACATTTCTTTGCATGCGGGCCATGCCCCACATGTGGTAATGTGAATACATACTCCGCTGTGCAGGTCGCATGCCTGATCGATTCCTGCAACCAGAACAGCGGAGTATGTATTCATGTTGCGACGCCACCTGCATCAGCTCCTCCGAGAGTCGTTCCATGTACTCCATACTATATCCACCCCCGTACACGCCCATGTGCGCCCATGTGCGCCCACGTGTTGTCCCCTGCTGTGCGCCTCCGTCTGCCCCTTTCCACCCCTGTGCACCGCTGTCTGTCCCTGTGCGTCCCTGTCCACCGCTATGCACCTATGCATGGCGCCATCGAATCCCATTCTTCAGCTGCTGGAGACGCTGATCAAGAACTGCACGGCCTACGTGCACCGCGTGTCCACACTCACTCATATCCCTCGACACCTCTGTGACTCAGGCGGTGAGGGAGAGCTGTGGGGTTTGAGGATTTGAGCCAAGGGTGAGAGGCGAGCAGAGGGTGGTGTGACTCAACTGAGGGGGTGGGGAAGGAGTGACAGAGTGAGTGCGCTGCGCTGCGGCACCGTGCACGAGCAGAGCAGTGAGAGTTGTTGTGTGAGAATTGCCCAACAACATCTGTAAAGCAGTGATAGAGGACCTTTTCACAGAACGTGTGAGGGGGGAGGAGATGGGTTGGGTAACAATTGCCTCAAAGCACCATCCATGTATGTATGCACGCACACAGCAGCACCAGTGCTCATCAATGGGGAGAAAAACACTTCACTGCTCGCCGGAAATATTAAGAGGATGTAGGAAGATGAGAGGTGGGGAGAGTGTGGGGCGGGGAGAGTGTGAAACCACAATTTGCGCAGTCAGCTTACCTGTTATCGTGATTCACCTTCTCTTCTCCACAATCGTTGCCCCTGTCCCTCTGCTTATCATGCACTTTATTTGATCCTCTCCTCTGTAGGATATCATCGGGGTGTTCAACGGCAACTGCATGATAAGCTACTCCGCTTATCTCAACATCTTCCCCATCTGGGAGGCCCTGCTCTGCTCTGCTCCGCTCCGCTCCGCTCAGCTCTGCCCTGCTCTGCCCTGCCCTGCCCTGCCCTGCCCTGCCCTGCCCTGCCCTGCCCTGCCCTGCTCTGCTCCGTTCTTCTTCACCAGTTCCTCCATACCTCCAATCCCTGCTCGCCTCTGCTCCGTTCATTGCCCATCCCCATTCCTTCCCTTCCCCCATAGCCCCCCTCATCAGTGTGACACGGAAGTGCAAATGCGCGTCTTGGGAGCTGCTGGACGTTTTTGAGTCGACTCAAAAACAAACTCATTACGTGCAAATGCGCGTGTTGGAGCTGCAAGAACGTTCATGTTGGCATGAGGCGTTTGAAAGGGTGTTTACTTGGCGATCTTAATCTATACCATTCCCCGTTCTCCCTCCCTTCCCTGCCAACCCAACTTGTGACCCCAAACACCCACACCCCTCCTTCCCCCCCCCCTCCCCATCCTAGAGCTGCTGGACGTGTGGCAGGAGGCGTTCGGATTAAGGCTGCTAGCTACTATGTACCCACTTTCCCAACCCCCATCCTCCCCCCTTTTCTCTCCCAATCCAGTGCGACGAGGAGGTACGAATGCGCATATTAGAGCTGCTTGACGTGTGGCAGGAGGTGTTTGGAGGGGCGGGCGGACGCCCCGCGCAGTTCTTTTTGGCGTATGATGAGCTCAAGGTGGGGGGGGGAGTGAGGGGGGGGGGGGGATGGGGATAGGGTTGGGGGACAGGGGGCAGGGGGGAAGGGGGGGGGGGGGGGGAGGAAGCAGGGGGCAGGGGGCAGGGAGCACGGCATGTGGTGATTGTGCTTTGGGGCCGGCGGTTGTCACTTTCAGTTCAGCTCATTCATGCTGCCACACTCAACTTGTCAACTTCTGACGCGCCTAGAAACATTTTCTGCGGAGCCTCAAAATGATTCAGTTCAGCCCATGCCCCACCCCACCCAACCTGTCAAATTCCTCTTCCCCCTCCCCCCATCACCCCACCACCACTGTCCCTCCCTCTTCTCGCAGCGCATGGGCATGCTCTTCCCCCCCCGCGTTTGCTGCAGGCCACGACTGCAACCACAATGACGTGAGTGCTGAGGTGGGGAGTGCACCAACAGGGCGGCCGACCTGGTGAATGCGCGCAGCACAGTGGACCTTCTGGGAGGGATGCTGACGTGTGCTTGTGGGAAGAAGGCTACTGGGCTCTGTTCATTGTTCTGAGGCTGCATGGACTCGCCTCGCCCTGTGTCATTCTCCCACCCACAGTGCGGCCGACCTGGTGAATGCGCGCAGCACAGTGGACCTGCTGGGAGAGATGCTCGCCACAGTGGACGCCATTAACCCTGCGGTACGTCGAACCAATGGGCTTGCTTGTGCAACCACCACCACCCACCTATTCAGCATGCCCCACCATCACCACCCAATCCCTTCCCATACCCCCTCCAAACACCAAACTCTCTGTCATTCCATTTGCTCCATCCTACCATCCTCACACATCTCCCACCCTCCAGTTACCGGATTACCACTCAGTCGTCCTATCCAACCCAACATGAAAAGTCTCTTGTTGTTGTTCGTTTCTTCCAGGCCCTCACAGCGTTCAGGAGAGCGCACTCGCCGGGCTAATGACATTCCAGTCCAACCCCTTTCCTTCCTGTTGCTCGCTCCCTACAACTCCCGCCCCTTTTGCTGCATGGAGTGCACATCAGCATCGGTGCAACCCTTAACAGCGTTCACGAGAGCGCAACAGGAGTAGCGCGCAGATGACATTCTGACCGCCCTTTTCCCTGCTTCCATCCCTGCTCTACTCCCTTTTCTTCTCTTCCCCGTATCTCCACACAACTCCTGCCCGCCCGCCACCTGCTGCAGCTACGTGGAGTGCACGTCAGCATGCATCCAGGCCCTCACAGCATTCACCAGAGCACATCCGGAGTACCGTGCAGATGACATCGAGCAGGCCATCTGGAAGGCGAGGGGCTTACTGGTGGATATCCAGAGGGACGATGGCTCGTGGTGAGTGGAGTGGAGGGGTGTAGTGAACCTGCAATGGTGTTCTAACGTGCCTTGCTGCGTGTCCCACAATTATGAAGGCTTCAACGTGTTCCCCCCCCCGCATCTGGGGGTAACAAGGTGTAGACTGACATAACCTTTCCCAGAAAGGGCAGGGCAACCACACTTCAGATGCAACTTCAACGTTGGCCTGGGCTAATTTCCCACCCAAACCATCCATGCCGGTGCGACAGCTGGGGGGCGTGAGCTGCACTTTCCGCTCGTGCGGCACTGGTAGCAGCAATCTCAAACCCTGAAGCCCCCTCCTTTCCTCCCCACCCGAACCATTGATGCAGGTACGACAGCTGGGGCGTGTGCTTCACGTACGGCACATGGTTCGGCATCTCAGGGCTGGTTGCAGCAGGGGCGCGCTACGAGACGTCGAATGCCGTCCGCAAGCCGGTGCGCTTCCTGCTGGACAAGCAGCTGCCGGCAGGGGGATGGGGGGAGAGCTACTTGTCGAGCCAAGACAATGTAATACTGCTTTTAGAATTCTCAATACTGCTTATAGCGGGGTGGTGGGAGGGCTACCTGTCCAGCCAAGAGAAAGGTGGGTGCGTGCGTGCGTGTGACTGGTCTTGAGACGGCGAGTTCATTTCTAAAACTGGTGTTCGTTCTGAGGGACCTTGGCTGACACTGCACATCGGTGTGCTCCACAGGGGTGATTCGCAGAGACACAAGCACCAACCGAATCACTGCCCACGTCC